ATATATGCATTTTTCTTAGAAGTAAAAGTTATTTTACATTTGTTACTTTTTATGAAAAAATTTTCAAGTTTAAAGACTCTGAGAAATAAAATAGAAAGATTATTAAGTTTACAAAAACCAAAAATTTTCCAAAGTTTGCGAAAAGTAAAAATTTGTTTCTTCAAGCGTAACTAACAAATTTTCTAACTTATACAAAAAATGACAATTTTTAAAAGTTTTTTTTAAAAATAAGGGGAAAAGGGGAGAAAATGTATGATTTTAGGTGTTTTAGGGGATTTTATAAATTTATTATGGGGATAAAAAGGGGAAAAGGTAAAAAAGGGGATTAGGTAAAAAGTAAATCTTACTTTCAGCCCACTTTTGACTATTAAATCGTTTACATTATAGCACCATTTTTGACTAGATTTTATTCTTGAGAGTATGATTTTAAATTGACTTAATCTACTTTTAAGCTGAAAAATAGCCTACTTTTAAGCTTAAAACTGGATTAAGTCTATGTTAGGACTTAAAATAATACTCTCATGGCTAAAATTCAGTCAAAAATGTTTCTAATGTAAACGATTTTAGTCAAAAGTGGACTGAAAGTAAAATTTACTTTTTACAGTGTATGTAAAAAAGTACTTTAGGAAAATATTAATGATATATGAATAGAAAAAATAAATATTTTCCGAAAGTTGACTTTTAAATTAATTAACCTAGTTATATTAACTAATTGTAAAAATTTTTCCTCGGGAGTAACAAAAGACTATAAATAGATTGTATGCTTGTATTTCGGAGACGTGATGTCTAGACCGATTAAGTGAAAGTTTCTTGTAAGCCACTGTAAAATAGGTGTTGACTGCTGGTTGTTTTGTCTAGTTGACTTATCTTCTGATTCTGTTGACCTTCACTTTTTTGGTTGATTGATATAGTTACTGAACTATACTCACTTGACACTATCAACTTATGATTTGATACACTCTGACTAGTTTCCAAATTAGAAGATACATAAAATACGTTTCATCGTGTAAAAAGATGCCAAGAAGAAAATAAATCATAAAAAATGATTTATTTTCTAGAAAATTTTGTAGAAAAAATTTTCACTTTGTTTCATTTTGATCAAAAAGATTAAATGAAACAAAGTGAGAATTTTTTTGTGACGGTGTCTTTTTTAACTTTATTTTTGAGAGCCTAGTTTTTGAAAAGATTGAAAATGATTAGGTATTCGGTGGATTAATTGGAAATGAGTTTAGAATGTGTACTTGAAATTTGTTTTCATGGTTGTATATATAAAAAAAATTTTTCTGATGTCTTACAATAGGTTTTTTTTTAATAGCGTGACTATCGTCATTGATGTAAACAATGGACGCTCACTGACATTGTTGAATGTATTATAAAACGTCGATTAATGTCCGTATTTCTCGATGGCTTACAATCATTCCTCATCTCCCCTCTTTTCTCAGTTTCCTTCCTATATCCATTGACAGATGAATATTGACTTTCAATGAGCTGGCATTCCTTTTTTTTCAAGCTTCAAATTTGTTTATGAGTAGAATATTTTTTTGGATCTTCAGAGGATGACCCAGTTTCCATTCATTTTTATTTTAACAATAAAATTTTTTTAAAAATCATTTGCTTGAAACATTTTAGTTACTTAGACCCTTTTTTACTTAATCCTCTTTTTCCCCCTTTTTTATCTCCCTAAATTATTAAAATCCCCTAAAACACCTAAAATCATACAATTTTCTCCTTATTTTTAAGAAAAAAATTTTTAAAAATTATTTTTTCAGGCTTTGCACTAATTTACTAAAACCTACTATTTACTACTTTTTATTACAATTAGCTACTATTAGGATACTTTTTTTAAAATTTGTGACACAAAAAGCTACTTTATTCATTTTTTTTTGTTTGAAACTTTGCACAAATTTAAATCTGCTAATAGTTGAAATAAAAGAATTAATTTAATTATTCTCAAATATTCTAATAAAATTCTTTAAAACAATTCAAAGTTTCAAATATTTTTTCAAAAACCTTTCGCAAGAATTCAATTATTTTTAAAACTAATAATATTTTTCACAAGAAATCAATTATTTAAAAAGATTTAATAAAAATTCCTAGTGAGAATTCAATTATTTTCATAAATAATAAAATTTTTCTCAGGAATTCAATCAATTTCAATACAATTTTAATAACTATAATAATAACTTTCTCGAAAAAAATCAATTTTTGGATAAATTCTAATAAGATTCTTTAAAAGAATTCTATTATTTCCCAAAAGAAAATGTGAATAAAATTCAATAATACAATTTTTAACTGCAATAACTAACAAACACTATTATTTAAAAAAAAATTTAGAGAAATTCTTCGTAAAATATAAGAATTTAAAAAATTTTTATTTTAAATTATTTAGAAAAAACTACATTATTTTCAAAAGATTTAAAGAAATTAGTCAAAAAAATTGAATTACTTTCAAAAATTGTAATTCAATATTCTTCACAAAAATTTTATTATTTTTATTAACAAAAAAAAATTCTTATCAGGAATTCAATTTTTTCTTGAAAATATTTAATATAATTTTTTGTTTACATTTATTAACAAAAACGATTATTTTAAAAGCTTGAGAGAAATTTGTTGAAAAAATTTAATTAATTTTAAACTTTAAATAAAAAGTAAATTTTCATTAAAAAAAAAATAATTAGTTGTTTTTTAATAGATTTAAAGAATTTAGTCAAACAAATTTAATTATTTTCGAAAAATCTGATAAAACTCTTCAAAAGAATTCAATTTTTTAATATTTTAATAAACTTTAATAATAAAATTATTAGTTACTAATTTTTAAGAAAATATCAATTTTTTCTAAAGAAATGTTTGAGAATTTAATTATTTTTAAAAATGTTAATAAAATTCTTATTCAATTTTAAGAAATAATCAATTATTCTATTAATTATTTATTTTTATATTTAATTAAATGAATTCTTGTGGAATTTTCTAATAAAAATTGATATTCAAAATTAATTTCACTTACAACTTCAGATTAAAATTGAATTTTAAAAATGACTATAAAATAATATCAATTTTTAGAAAAAGATAAATTTCAAAAAACTTTTAAATTGAAATTATTTAAAATCTAAATTCCAGGGAGAAAATAAATAAGTATTTATATATAATTATTGAACAAAAATTATTCCAGTAAAAATAATTTAATTTACAAAATTATAAAAAAAATTAATCTTTTGAAAAATTTTCATTAAATTTTTTTGGAATATAGAAAAATTCTCTTAAAAATTAAAAATTTTTATTTAAATTTCGAATTAATTGGAAATTTTGTCAAATTTAATTGAAATAAATTTTATATTTGAAAAAAAGTTATTTTTTTTACATTCAAAAATTATTTTTACAAATAATCGAATTTTTGAAGAATTTTAACTAAAAATTTAGAAAATAATTGAATTTAATAAAAATTTGGAAAATAATTGAATTTAATAAAAATTTGGAAAATAATTGAATTTCATAAACATTTGGAAAATAATTGAATATGATAAAAATTTAAAATTGGAGTTATTATCAGGATAAGAAAAACAGTGAATATTTTTTATCGATATGTAAAGTTTATTATATTTAAAACAGTAACTTCAATTTTAGAATAATTTTAAATTGAAAATTTTTAAAAATTAATTTTTTTACTAATTTTATTATTATATATTATTTTCAGAACATTTTTATTAAAATCTTTGCAAGAATTCGATTATTTTCTTAAATAGAAAAATTTTTCTCAGAAATTCAATTATTTTCAAAATTATTGTAATAAAATTGTTAAAAAGTATTCAATTATTTTCAATATAATTTTAATAAAATTTCTCAAAAGAATTGAATTATTTTCAATATAATTTTTAATTGCATTCGTCGAAAAAAATTGCAAGATGTCAGTTATTTTCAAAAATTTTTGTAAAACTCTTTATAAAGAATTCAATTATTATTTTCATTTCAATTATAATTAAATTCCTTGTAAGAATTGAATTATTTCCAAAAATTTCTATAAAATTCTTTAAAAAAATTCAATTTTTTCAAAAATTTAAATAAAAGTCTATGCAAGAATTATATTATTTCAGATTCTAAATTATAAAAAAAGTTACAAAAAATACAAAAAGTAATTTTAAAACATTCAGAATGTTTAAAATTCATGTTCTAGAAAATTTGAATTTTAATAATTTTTTAGTTGAATTTTTGAATTTATATTTTAATAAAGAATTTTCAAATTGTTGCAATTTCATAAAATTGAATATAGTAAATAACTTGATTTTAGAAATAATAATTTAGGTGACAATTTTTTCATTGATTAAATAATTGAATTCTCAAGGACCATTCTTAAAAATTATTTTAAAAAAATTGATTTAGAGAAGAATTTTATCTGAATATTTGAAAAAAAACAATTGAATTGAAATGTAGAAAATAATTTTTAGTGAAGTTCACCCAGAAAACCGATATATTTGACTCAGAGCCAAATAGACATTTTATTTGATTCAAATAAATTTTATTCGGTTTAAATAAAAGCTTTTTTCATGTCGAATAAAATTTTTATTTAAAACAAATAAAATTGGCTCTGAGGGAAATATTCTTTTATTTAATACAAATAAATTATTTTGTATATTATTGGTTTAAATAAAATTTTTCTCTGGTTGTTAAAGTAGAAAAATCTATATTGATGTTCTGAATCATTTTAGAATTAATGATATTCGAAAATAAATGTATTGAAAATACATTTTTTGTACATACAATTGTTTTTGGAGTAAAATAAAATATTCTTTATGATCAGGGAAAAAGTCAAATTTTTGTCTGGAAAAGTCAGAGAAAAATAAAATCAAATTTTTGTTGCAACGCTGATAATATTAATTACTATATTGTCCTCTGAATGGTTTTTTATAACTCGAAATATTTTACAAAAATTTAATAAAAATTTTCCACTAATTTATCACAGAGAATTTCCGGATAATGCTAATTGTAATTTATAATTTCTGTTGCAGGAGATTAAATTTTCCATCTGGGTCAGATTTATATAAAAAAATAATCTAGGTCATCGAATTCTTTCAACACACACACACACGAGGTTCGTTGATTTTATTAAAATTTTATTGGAAAATATTACGAATATTTCTTTTTAATTTCGTTTATATATTTTTATATTTTATTATGTTTTTTTCAAATATTGTTACTGTAGTGTTTTTATTTGAAATATTTTTTATTATTTCCTGCTTTCATGTTGCAAAAGAAATTGATTATGTCTAGAAGACAATATATATAATATTGGCTATGGTTTTTAATAGTCGTTACAAATTGTTCATTGTTGAGGGGGAAAATGAAAGATTCAGTTCAATGAATAAAAGTCTTTAGTGCATTTGTGATCGAGTTAAGTGTATAGCTGTTGAGTAAACGATGGTGATTACTTTCGAGACGAAGCAATTTAACGAGAAAGCAATAGAAAATGAAGGAATTTCGTCCTATTTAAATTGAAGTCTTTAAACCCAATAGGAAATCATTGTCAATGACAAGTGTGATTAAAGTTTTTTGCAATTTTTCCAAATTGACAATTATTGATGTTTATCATTTTTTCAGGCATTATTTTTTTTAAATTATTAAAAATTTTGAAAAATTTTTTAAATTAAAATTTTTTATTAAAATTTATCATCAAGTAAATATTACATTATTTTTTTAAATTATTTGAAAATTTTAAAAAAATTTTCAAATTACAATTTTTTATGATTAAATTTATTATTAAATTAATATTTATTACCTATTTGAATCAATAAAGTTTTTTTACATTATTTGACAAAAATATCATTAAGTAAATATTACTTAATGATATTTTTGTCACATAATGTAAAAAATTTTTCAAGTCATTGCATTCCAATTGGTACCAGTTGGTACCAATTGGTTATTTAGCAGAGCTGTTAAAAATGATGTTTTTTTTTATAAAAACATACAAAAAATACGATTTTTTTTTATTTAAATCAAATTTTTTCCGGAGCTTGATTTTTTAGAAATTAGAACTGACAATGAAAAAATAATTTTATACTTAGAAGCAATACAAAGGATAGATTTTTCTTTTTCTTGAGAAATTATTTAACCGAACATTATTTTCAGGAATTTTAATAAAATTCATTGTAAAATTCAATTATTTTCAAAATTAGTAAAATTCTTCGCAGAAATTCAATTATTTTCAAAAAATCGAAAAAAAATTATCGTCAACATTACAAATATCTTTATAAATGAATAGCAAAATTCTTCGTCAAAATTCAATTATTTTCAAAAATTTTAATAAAATTCATGTCAAAATTTCAATTATTTTGAAAATTTTTTCTTAATTCAATGATTTTCAATATTCTACTATTTTAATAAAATTTTCCAAAGGAATTCAATTATAAAACAAAATTTTTAATAAAATTCTACACGAATTTTCAATTATTTTTCAAAAAAATAAAAATTTCACAGGAATTCGATTATTTAAAGTATAATTTGTATAATTATTATCGAAAAAGTCAAATGTTTTTTTCGGTGGAAGTCAATTATTTTCAAAATTAATAAAATTCTTCGCAAAAATTCAATTATTTTTAAAATTAGTAAAATTCTTCGCAGAAAATTCAATTATTTTCAAAAATTCTAAAAAAAAATTGTCGTTAACATTACAAATATCTTTATAAATGAATAGCAAAATTCTTCGACAAAAGTCAATTATTATCAAAAGTAATAAAATTCAATTATACTTTAAAAAATTTTAATAAAATTCATGTCAAAATTTCAATTATTTTGTAAATATTTCTCCTAATTCAATGATTCTCAATATCTACTTCAATTATTTTCAAAAATCTTCTAAAAATTCTTATGAAGATTTCAATTATCTTTATGAGTAATAAAATTTTCTTCTGGAAATTAAATTATTTTAAAAAATTTTAATAAAATTATTTGGAAAAATTTTAATTATTTTCAAAAATTGTCCTCAATCTCATAAAAATTTCAATTATCTTTATAAATAGTAAAATTCTTTTCTGAAATTCAATTATTTTCAAAAATTTTTCTTAACTCAATGATTTTCAATATTATACTATTTTAATAAAATTCTCCAAAAGAATTCAATTATTTAACAAAAAATTTTATAAAATTATAAGAAAGCATTTAATTATTTTAATAAATAATAAAAATTTCACAGGAAATTAATTATTGACAAATTTTTTATACATTTCTTTGCAGTAATTCAATTATTTTCATAAATAATAAAATTTTTTTTTTATTTGAATTTTCCCAGAATTTTTCACGAAACAATTGTCAATTCATTAGTAAGTTCTTATTACTTAATATTTTTACTTAATTAATTATACTTAATACTTACGCAATTAATTATTAGTTTAATAATTCAATTATTTTCTTGTTTAATAAATTTTTTTAATAATTTAATTATTTTCTTAAATAGTAAATTTTTTCTAAGAATTCAATTATTTTCTTAAATATTAAAACCTATCACAGAATTCCAATTATTTTTAATACATTTTCAATCAAATTCCTCCAAAAATTAAATTATGCTTAAAAATTTTATTGAAATTCGTCGAAAGAATTCAATTATTTAAAAATTCGTTTGTAAAATTCTTTATGGGAATTGAATTTTAAGATACATTCAATTATTCAATAAATTTTTTTTGCAGTTAAATAATTGAATTTTTGAAGAATTTTCTTATTATAATTGATTTAAAAATTGAATTTTCGAAGAATTTTCTAATAAAAATTGATTTAAAAATTGAATTTTAGTTAAAATTTTAGATAATACATAATTGAATATTAATATATTATAAAAGCATTAGAGCATGAATTTTTAGAAACAATTGAATTTTAAAAAGGTTTAAAATTAAAATTTTTAAAAATCTCTATTTTTGATACGTTTAACTAAAAATTCTGTAGAATTCATTGTTTTGAAAAAATTTAACCAAAATTTTTTTATTTTTGAATAATCGAATTTTTGTAAAATTGAATTGTAAACAAACGGAATTTGAAAATCTCAAAGAACTTTTTTTTTAAAATTATTAAAAATAATTGATTTAAAGAAGAATTTTTGTTAAAAATTCTAGAAAACAATAATTGAATTTAAATCATGAAAATAATTTCGAATCAAATCGATTTCAAAAAGATTTGATTTTGAAATTTTAATTTCTCTGGAAAAATAATAATGATTAAATATTTATTTAAAAATGAAGTTATTGATGTTTTGAAATAATTTTACTTTTGAAGAAATTCGTAAAGAAATGTAATAGAAAATTTTTTTTGAGCATCTAATTATTTTGAAAGTGAATGAAAATATTCTTTATAGTCCAGAAAAAGAGTTAAAATTTTATTTGGAAATTAGAAAAAAGTCAGAGAAGAATAAAATTAAATTTTTGTGCTAACCCTGATAAACTATAATAACCGACGAATATTATTCAATGTTTCATAATATTTTTGAATCCATAAAAAGTTAACAGCTAAAAAGCAAAATATTTTTTTTAAGTATTTCAGAGAGTATAAAAAAATAATCTAAATAGAAAAATGCAAAATAATTTTGATATTATATCTTTGAATTTTTCATCGCATTTGCAAGATTTTATATTTCTCGTCTCCACATTAATTTAAAAATGTCCACAAGTGGCAATAAACTTGAGTTTATAGACAAGAATATAATTCTCGAATGTATACCTATATTTACTCATAAAAGCATCTTTTTAATTCATTTCATTTTTAAACAGAGTCTCCTTATGTTTCAAGAGTATTCTAGAGGATAGAAAAAAATATGACTAGGTATAAAAAAGAGAGAACCACTCGCAAGAACGTGGAAAATAAAAATTTAAATGATGAAACATGGAAAATGTTTGAAATAACTGGGTCACTATAATATTCGCGGAAATTTTTTTTTCTACATTATTGATTCATAAAATTTTCAATTTTTTTTTAAACTTTTCTTTTTTAATCTATAATGTTTGTGATTAGGTTAACCTAGTTTTTAATTTGTGGTTTAAAGAGAATTTGTTAGAATATCATTTTTTTTTTTTTGCTTTTTGCGCTTTTAATAACTTAAGGCAATTTATATCCTGTTTTATAGTCTATTTTAGTTTATTCCTTCCGAGAATGGAATTGTTTACTTATTTCATTATATAAATTGCAGAAAAGAAAATCATTAAAATTATAAAAAATTTTCTTTTCTTTCTTCCCAATAATTCAATTAATTTCACTAATAAATACAATTTTCATGGAAATTCAAATTTTAAAAATTTTTTGATAAAATTCCAAGCAAGAATTCAATTATTTTCATAAATAATAAAACTCATCGAAAAATTTCAATTATTTTTAATACTATTTTAAATTAATCAATCGAAAAATTCAATTATTTTCACAAATAAAGTTTTCCACAAGAATTCAATTATTTAAAACAAAATTTTCATAATATTTATTATACTACGAAAAAAATTAATTATTTAAAAGAATGTTTATAAAATTCTTACGAAGAATTCAATTATTTTCAAAAATAACAAAATTTTTTAGAGAAATTCAATTCTTTTTAAACATTTTGAATAAAATTTTTCTCAATAATTCAATTATTTTCATAAACAATAAAACTCAACAAAGAATTCAATTATTTTCACAAATAAAGTTTTTAAAAGGAATTCAATTATCCAAAATAAAATTTCCATAATATTTATTACATTTCGAAAAAATTATTTATTTAAAACTATGTTTATAAAATTCTTTACAAAATTCAATTATTTTCAAAAATAACAAATTTTTTTTACTGAACTTCAATTCCTTTTTAAACATTTTAATAAAATTTTTCGCAATAATTTAATTATTCTCATAAATAATAAAATTCTTCTCAGAAATTCAATTATTTTTGAAAATTTTAATAAAATTCTTAGCAACTATTCAATTATTTTCATAAATAAGAAAATTCAACACAAAAACTCAATTATTTTTAATACAATTTTAAATAGATTATTCTAAATAATTGAATTATTCTTTGAAATTTTTATAAATTGATTCAAAAACATTCAATTATTTACAAATATTTTAATAAAATTCTACGCAAGAATTCAA